TGGCCTGGCAGTAATAGGCCTTGGGTTACTGCTGGTAACCCTGTCTTCCCTTTGTGGAATTAGAGGAGGTCAGAACATGTGGCCTCCTTGTCATTTTTGCAAGGGCCTTTCCCTTTTTTGCTGACCCTTCACTTTACCAAGCACGATATCCGTCTCTAGGGAATGGTCCCTTCTGACAACTTGACCAAAGTAGATGAGATGAAATCTGGCCATTCTCGCTTCCAAGGACCATTCTGGCTTCACTTCTTTCAAGACAGATCTGTTAGTTCTTCTGGCAGCCCATGGTACTTTCAGTATTCTTTGCCAAAACTACAACTCAAAAGCATCAACTCTTCTTGGGTCTTGCTTACTCACTGTCCAGCTTTCACATGTATATGAGGCAACTGAAAATACTATGGCTTGGGTTAGCCGCACGTTAGTTTTCAAAGTGGCATCTTCGCTCTTTGGCACTTTAAAGAGGTCTTTTACAGCAGATTTGCCCAGCACAATACGTCCTCCAATTTCTTGACTGCTGCTTCCATGGGTGTTGATGGTGGAACCAAGTAATATGAAATCTTTGACAACTTCAATCTTTTCTCCATTTATCGTGTTGCTGCCTACTGTGAGTCTTTTTGTTTTATGTTAAGGTGTAATCCATACTGCAGACTGTAGTCTTTAATCTTCATCAGTTAAGGGCTTCAAGGCATCTTCACTTGCAGCAAGCAAGGTTGTGTCACCTGCATACTGCAGGGTGTTAAAGAGTCTTCCTCCAATCCCAATGCTGCGTTCTTCATATAGTCCAGGTTCTTGGATTATTTGCTCAGCATACAGATTGAACAAGTATGGTGAAAGCATACAACCCTGATAACTCCCATCCCTTGTTCTGTTTGAACGACAGCCTCCTGGTCTATGTACAGGTTCCCCATGAGCACAATTAAGTGTTCTGGAATTCCAATTCTTCTCAATGTTATGCATAACTTGTTATGATCCACAAATCACATGCTTTCCATAGTTAGTGAAACACAAGTAAATATTCTGGTATTCTCTGCTTTCAGCCAAGATCCATCTGACATCAGCAATGATATCCTTCGTCCCACATCCTCTTTTGAATCCAACTTGCATTTCTGGAAG